TATAATTATAATTAAGTTATTTCTCTATCTCATATTATAATAAATAATTACACATAAAAAAATATTAAATTTTTTTAATATAATTAAATTGAAAGTGAGTATTAAATTAAAAATGAAAACGGGTACGGGTACGGGGCGAGTAAGTACATACACGTACCCGTACCTGTACTCGATTTAATGTATCGGGTTTTACTCGTACCCGTACCCGTACCCGGTCAAACCGAATATTCCCCATCAAAGTCGAGACGAGTTCGGGCATTACCCGCGGGTACAGGTATATTTGTCATCCTTACTCGAAACCATTAAAGTTAAACTTTTAAATTAATATTTTTACCTACGATTTTAAAAGAATAATATATATAGAATTAATAGAAAATTTAAAAAATAAATATAATATAGAATAGTCATTTTCATTATGTTAAAGTATGGGATATAAACTTTACAATACATAAACTATACCATCTATTTAATAATTTTTTTTATTGATAGATTTGTGATGTGTATCAGTTAACAGATCACAAACCCGTCAATCTCGTATACCAAAGTAGATAAAATGACTTATGTATTATAAAATGAGTATTGCTACAGCCTCCTAAAATGGAGGCCGAAAAACGCTCTAAATATTAAAAAATTATTATTTTTAATAAATTTATTATAAAATAATTATTTTATAAAAAATTTATTAAAAAATAATAATTTTTTAATTATTCAAATAATTTTTCGACTTCTATTTTCGGAGGATACAGCATTTTCCTTATAAAATATATAACATACACTTTAGCATGAAAAAACAAAATATATAACATACACTTTAGCATGAAAAAACAAAAAAAGTGACTAATCTATATTATATTCTTCATTCAAATTTTATATTACCTCTATATACTTTATAGTTATGAAAAATTCTCATAGGAAGTTTTTCTATGTGCATTTATAAAATGTGAAATTGAATCGTACTGGATTCTACCAGAGTTATTATTCATTTTTTGTAATTATTATTTTATTTTCAAATTATTTCTTCAATTCATAGAAAAAATTGAAATAGTAAATAAACAATAGGTTAAATACCTATTTTGGTCTCTTCTAATCTTTTTTTGTTTCAATGTAGTCTCACTTTTATTTTTGGTCTCAATTTGGTTCCAAACTAATTAATTGGTTTCAATTTAGTCCCAAATTAATTAATTGATTTCAATGTGAGACTTCCATCTAAATTATTTAAACTAATTAATTAATTGATTTCAATGCGGGACTTCCATCACAAATTCACGTGCCCAAAAGTTAACTCCGTTTAAATAATTTGGACGGAAGTCCCACATTGAAACCAATTAATTAATTTGCAACTAAATTGAAACCAATTAATTAGTTTGGGACCAAATTGAGACCAAAAATAAAAGTGGAATTACATTAAAACAAAAAAAGATTATAAAAGACCAAAATAGAATTTTAGCCTAAACAATATCTATGACTACTTGATTAAATATAAAAAAAAAGTGGGATAAATAATAGATACTATTAGAAAGATCCTTTAGATAACAGGTAGTTTAATTGGTATTTCTGTGATCGGTTAAATTAATAATTTCGTTCATATTTTGGATTAGGTTCATCCATGTAATAATAGTATTAATTAAATTCTCAAAATAAAAGCATAAGAACTCAATACAGATACATTCTAATTTGTCAAGGAAAGAACGGATTGTTTCTCAGGTCTTAATAATTAGATTTTTTTTTGTTCATATTTTTATTATATTTTTAAAAAAAACTATTCATTTTTTTTAAAGATAGTTGAAGAAATTCAATTTGTTTAACTAAATTACCCCATTCCCTCTCATCTTTAATTGTATACTTTTAATTTACAATTTATATTTAATAGTATAAATTTATATAACTCCATCAATGACTCACTAGTTTAACCACTAATCTAATGTCTTGACTAAGTCAATCATATGTCAAAGTTTTAAAACATTACTTGTACCAACAAAATACTTTTAAAAGAATTATTTATTTTAGTTCTTTCTACTTTATTTTTCTACTGTCGTTTTGCATTAAAAAATATTGAAGTGCATAATGACATTCTACAAAATTTAGAACTAACGTAGAACTTTTTTAAAATTTCAAGAATTAAAATATCTAGCTACGTTAGTTTATTCAACTTAAGAAAGAATTCGGAGAAAAAAAATCTTAGATCTACATCAAGAGCAAAAAGTTTCACCTGTTAGATCTACAACAAACAACAGATATACACCCCAATTTCCCACTAATGCTACTACTCCCCTGAAAGGAAACACTACAACTAAAGCAAATAACATAATTTCTTTTTTACATATATCGGCGTTGGTCGTACAAAATATGCCTTCAGCTTCACTACTGGCTTAGCTCTATTATTATACCTATGATATCATACCCACTCAAAGTTTGTTTCTTTGGGAAGAACCAAAGCAATGAGGCAATCTGACGGATCAGGTGCAATAGAAAGCAAAGAGCACGTTTCAAGTGAGTGGGGGAGAATGAATAGAAGCCTTGCCCATATGGATTTTGAAGCTGGGATTTTAATAACCCCAGCACAATCCCTCTGCTTTAAGTATGATATGAAATCCTGAAACTGATTGACAGACATACATAGGGTCAGTCAACAAGACGAAAGAGTGGG